CCACCAACCAAAGGGCAGTAAATGCGAGCTTTGAAGATCAACGGACAATACCGTCAATGAAATGGCTGTGTTGATGATTGCCACCAAAATTCACAATGCAACAAAAAATGTTATATGTCACCTCATTTGCTAACAGACAGCTAAAATCTGAAGAGAAACATAACGTTAAAACAAACTGATTACTTCCATTTCAGATCATCGACCTCCTTCCTGGACGAGTCGACGGTCTCTTGGGATTTAATCTCGATTTCTTCCTCATTCGCTCTAAGTGAATTTTCGAGTACCATTATTCTGTCAAAAGTGAAGTAAAGGCCCTATAGAAATGGACGACATTATCGAACAAGGGATACCTGTTCAAGAAATCCGCCAGTTGGGTGTCGCCTGATTGCTGTTTGAGGTAGTCCTCTGATTTCTGTTTCTCGGCGTCTAGCCTAAAAATGAGGTTCCAGTGCTCATTGCGCCTTTAACTTTATCAAAAAACAAGTTACTGAGCTCTCAGGTCATCTGCTTCCTTTCGGACGGTCATCAACTCGCCTTCGAGCCGGTTCTTTTCCTGTGCAACACCTTCCAGTTCTCCGTTTTTCTGAATCAACGTTTCATTTAGTTCCGCGCATCTGAAAGAAGCGCAGTTAAATTAATGGTATAGATTGGTCTATTTTAAAAAAACAGATGGAAACTTAATGCAGGAAAGCGTAAATACTGTCTCGTACATCAATACGTCAATATGATAAACAGCGGACGAGAACCCATCGATGTTATGAAATACTGTACCATATCTGTACATGAGTACTCCAAAATACTGTGATATTTAATAGTGCGCGTCATACACAACTCTTCTTACGATTATGGTAAGAAATAAGAAGATACGGAAGGAGTCTGTTCAAGACTCCATTTGTCTTTTGCCGAAGCTCAGACTCTGGCACAGGATCGGGAACGTTGGAAGCTCCGGCTGACGCGTCTGCCTCCGCGACCCGAAAGGAGCGGCGGCGATGAAAGATGATGATGATGATGATAAGAAGATACAAAAACATGTATGAGCGTAAACCGAGTTATGTGGAGTGATTCTCTCAGTGCAGAAACCGAAGTGAGAATGAGTCAAACAAGTTTGAACAGCATAGGCTACTAGTGCTTTACCAAATCCAGTGAAACAGCGAAGGAAGTTAGAAGAAAATAGAAAGCTTGACTGACAAAAATAACCCCCCCTAGTTTAAAGGTTAAATTAAAATTCGAGAAGCATAAAATAAGGCTAATTGTAAAAAGTCTAAGCGAGATCCTCATCACAGCGACTGTCATGCATGGCGA